AGAGTGAGGAGGCATCAACCTCTAGTGCCAATGCCAGGCAGAGAACATGGGGAGAGCGAGGAAGGCAGAGATGCAGTCCTGGCCCCCAGGGAGCAGCACCTCACAGCTGAGAGCCAGGAGCAGAGACTACTGACCACAGCACGAGGAGAAACAGAACAGGCTCCAGGGAGCTGCCAAGCGCAGCAGCGTGGCTGAGCTGTACACTGTCACTCATCATGCTCAGCAGGGCCTGCGTGCCCAGTGGAACAGTCCCTTCCCACTACTGGGCACATACCTGAGCAGGAAATGTTGTGTTTCAGACCTCCGGGACTCCCGTTATTGCCTCTGTGGGAACGTCTACACTTCTTGGCAAGGCACTGAGACCAACTGCCTCCCCCTGGGATCATTTCCCATCACCCCCATCCACCCACCCCGAAACCCACAGTGTCTGAGGCACAGCCAGTGACCTGGTTCCCATGTGAAATGTGCCTCCAAGGCCTCTGCTCTGGAGGAGTGTCCTTGGGCCCAGGCCATGAACCCCCGGCATGCAATCGCCCAGACAGGTGAGACGTTAGCTCAGGGCAGCCTTCCCTGGTGTGCATCTCTTCCTTCTCAGTAAAACTGAGCACTTGGCTCAAACCACCACAATTGTCCCCAGCCTGGTCCTAAACTAGACTCATAGGTATAACAAATATGGATCTGCTAGTTATTGTCAATACTTTAAAAGTCTGCCTAACATCTAGTGAGTGCCCCCAGGAAAATCCCCTGGACAGCTAACGCACCCAATTTCCTGTGTCTTGCTGGAATCACACCAGCTAAAGTTTACCAGAGACAGGAAGAGAAAATGGCGGCTAAGTGCAATGCACCCAGAAGGTGGCGAGTAAGAAGAACCTGGCAACTGGATGAATGAGAAATGTGTGCCAGCAAAAGTTCAAACCAGTGACTGCATAAGGAGGGCGTAACAAACTGTGGCCTCCACTGGACTGTGAGTTCCTGGGGCCACCTGGCCTGCCCTCTTCTCTCATCCCTAGAGCCTGGCACAGGCCTCCTGCTTGAGAAGGGCTCAAAAGATGCTAGCTTGATCAGAGCTGAGACAAGTGCCATTACCTGCAGCCCAGCATCCTGAGCAGACTTGCAGAGCCACCAGGAGCCACAGGAAAAAAGAGAAGAGAAGATGGAGGGAAGAAAAGAGGGACAGCGGACCCCAGGCTGACAAGTGAAACAGGCTTTCCCGTGGTCCAGCATGTCAGATGGTCATCTTCCCCAGGGTCCTTTCTGCAGTGCTGTAAATACAGGGCTTTTCAAAAACCGATGTCCCTGGGGGACGATGGCCAACCACAGGGAAGAAAGCAGTGTTCCTCTGCTTCTTTACCACCACCGCCGCCACCCTCCCACCTTTGAGGAAACACTCTGAGATCCGACTGTGGAGCTAGAGCGAGTCTCTGCTCATGTTACTCCAGGCATGGTGCACTTGCTCTCCTGGAGAGAACAGGTCACAGACGGTGACTGCTTACGGGATGTGGTCACTTCCGTGCCCGTCTGGCAGCTTGGCACTGGACACATTCTACTGACAGCTTTGGGACATGAGGTCAACTGCCTCTTTGAATACGGGTCATACCTCCTACGAGCTGAGCAGGCGAGTTACTCAACCTTTCTAAACCTTGGTTTCTTTCTTTGTAAAAGGAGGAAAACAAACAGAATCCACCTCAAGTGGGATGAGGCTTAAATGAGAAATTGTGCGGAATGCCTCTTGCAAGTTGGAAACTCTAGACTGACCAACGCAGGCTGCCATTCTTCTAAAGCAAAGTAATAAGAGTCCAGACTACATGGTTAGAGACCTAGGTTTAGGTGTCAGAGTTGTCCCTATTTGCTCTGTTATTTAGGAAGTCCCCTAATTTGTTTGTGTTCTAGTTTCTTCATCTACAACAAAGAAATATCAATACAGCCCTTTAGCTGGCACATGGCACACAGTCCCCCTGAATGCCTGACACATAGTTAATGGCAGCTGTAGCCCGGGCCGTAGCAGCAGTAACCACTGGTCTGCCAAGCAGTGAACCCTAACAAGCCACCTCATTTCCACCCCACATGTTTGCTGAGCAAGGTCCAGCCCTGGCTTTGGCATCTGTGGAAATGCTCACAGAATCTCTCCCGGAGTCTTTGGTGGCAGCAGGACAGAGGAAGCCCACGGTGTTTCTGCTTCTGCCTGCTCTGTCCATGAGGAGGAGCAACGGGACCTCGAGGCCCACACGTTTCACAGCATCAAATGCAGCCTCAACACCGCACAGGTACATTAATTTTTCCTAGACCTTGGGTTCCTGGGACCAGTTTATCTTCTGTTAGGCTGAAGTACATGTGCCAGCCCCCATTTGCATTACTCTTCACTAATTTTCTTCCTAGAGAATGGAGGTTCTTGGGCACAACTGAACATCTCTGTGGGATTGCCTGGAGAGCATCTTCTCAGAATCCTGAGAGCACAAAGCACTGGACCTGATCTGCAAACAGAAAACTGGTTCTTCACAAGTCAGCAAGGGAAAGCTTACATCCATGGGCTCAAAATGCATTCCATTAGCTCTAACTTGTAATCTCCAGGGAGTATGTGGGCCATGGTCAGCAGGATCCCTGCTCTCACCCAGAGCAAGTGTGGTCAGAGACACACCTACAGGTGATATTTCCCAGAGGAAGAAGTCTGCAAAGAAGACACCCCCCCCCAAATAATATTCCCTCACCCTGAGAAACAGGGCAGAAAGCAGAATTACATGATAAATTATGTCAGCTAAATGGACAGCTAGTGGACATTGACTGCTGCAGGGGAACTGGGTTCAGCCTGCCCAGAGGGACTTTCTAAACCCACCTGCTGCTGACACCACCACCTTCATCAGCAGAGGGGGGTACAACCCATTGGATCTTGCCATCCTTCTAACGCTGGTAAAAGGAAGAATCAAGCTTCCCCCAAAGTCAGCTTCTATCAAGGTGCCAGAAGCTTATCTGAGAAAACAAAGGGTTTTCTGTCTCTCCCTGCTCTTAGCCTTCCTTCCAGAAGTTCTATATGCCCGGTGTTAACAGCATCTGAACACCCGAGATGCCCCCAGAGAGGCTCACATGAACACCACAGCTGGTCTCTGCAGGGAAAAGAGCCACAAGCTGGACACACCGTTAACAATTCCAAGGGTTGGCGAGAAACCCAAGAATCCTCCAAAAATGTCATCAATGCCCATGTGTGTCTTTCCGGGGAGATGACAGCAAATTCCCTATGAAGTAATACAAGGGGGGACTTTAGAAAAAAGAATACAAACTGCCTGTCTCGTTTTTATATAACATCCTTAGAAAACGCAAGGAGCATATAAATGATAATTACCAAGTTTTCAAATCTGCTGCACAAACCATTGTATACATGTAAACATCTCACAAGTGCTTGGGAGGATATTTTGAGGAAAACATGCACACAGTATAAATATTTTACATGTTATTAGACTCTTTTTGTAAATCTGAGAATTCCCAGGAGCAATCAAACCAGGCAGACCAAGCACCTAACTTACTTTATCTCAGCATTTTTCACACAGTCACCTAATATACGTTAAATTCTACTGTGAGTGGTACATCGTTTTGTCACTTCTATTGCATAATACAAGTAATTTAATGGGGTCTTAGCCTCTCTGTCACCTGGAAGCTGTCCCCATCTTATCACACAGCAATCACTAGTTTTAATGTACATTCTCCAAAGGTAGAAAAACAGAGGAAGAGGAGGAGAGAGTGCTTGTTTTTCCAAATGCATCAAAACCCAACTTCCCAGTGAATAAGACCAGTGTTCAGTGAGAAAGGGGGGGGGGGGCTGGCCTGCATCTGGGGGCCCTCCCGGCCTTTCCTGGTGGTGTGAATAGATACTCTGGATGAATTTACTCCCCAGTAAAGAAAAGCATGCAAGAAAGGGCATTTCTTTCCATGTGTATTCCCTGGGCTGCAGAACAGAAGTCATCTTTGACACAGCACACCTGCCACGAACGACTCCAGATTGAGGCAGAAATCAGAACCGGCCTACTGTTTGGCTGGGTAGGGCTTTTGCAGAAACAAAAACAAAACCCGGCAGATCCAGAAACTTCATGCAACTTCAATACTTAAAATGTAGCAGAAACCAGCCCTGGGCAGAGTGGGAGAGAGAACGTGACCCTGACAAGTGCAGGTGTGAGCGTCTAGGTGAAAGGAGCCCACGATGGCTGCGAGGTGGATCTGAGCTAATGTTCTGGGCTCGGGTCTCAAAAGAAGAGATGCGACCATTCCCCCTGCGTTTGGGCCTCGGAGGCCGTTGAAGCGGGTCCCTGAGGCACCAGGAGGAGACTCAAACATCTCTCGGAAAGAGCCCGCACCGGCACCCCCTCCTCCTTATGAAATAGCTGTTCCAGGTCCCAGCCGCTCAAAGCCACTCCGGGAATTTCACAGCTGCCCCTGAATGACCCCCGCGCACGCGTCCGCGCCGAACATCGCCGAGACACAGAGCCCCAGGACGCATGGAGCAGACCCCAGCCAGTGGCCTCCGACTCCCCGAGCCGCCGCAGCAACAGTTTTCCAGCGGGAGAAGCACCGCAAACGCCTCAGGGAAGACGCTTAGCAGACCGCGGGCGCCAAAACCGGGGACACCGGAGGAGCAAAGGGGCCAAGAGCAAAAACTTCCAACGCGGGTCTCGAAAGATTACTCAGGAGAAACTTCTCGAGGCCGCAGACGGGGGTAGGCGTCTCAAGTGCAGAAGAGCAGCCCTGAATCCCCCAGGCAGGTGGTGCGGGACCGGTGGCCTGCCCGCTCTCCGCTGTGGTGGGGGTAGCAGACCTGGGTCGCTAGGAACCGAGGGTCCCAGGAAGGGGAGGGTTTCTCTCGGTCCTGGGGGACATGCTTCGAGCAGAGGGTGGGGAGGAGACCGCGAATCCAGGCCCCGGAGGATGCGGCGGCGCAAACAAAGTTGCGGCCCGGAGAGGCTCGGTCGGTGGGTCCCCGCGTCGGCGCGCCCCGCCCGCGGGCCGCCACTACTTACACGAAGACCCCGAAAAGCAGGGCTCGCACCCCGATCTCGATGGCCAGCTCTCGCATGGTGCGGCCGGAGCAGCTCCCGCGGCGGCGGCGCCTGGTGCTCTCCGCTGCTCCGGCGGCTCCCGCAGCTCGGCCGGCGCCGGCTCGCCAGACCCTGGGCGGCGAGGGAGGCGCGCTCCAGGCCGCGGGCGGGG